TATGACTTGGTCCAGATGAAGAGGTTTTTTTTTTTTCTCCCCCCTTTTCAAAAAAAGGTATCACATCCTTCTGTTAGATGTGTTGTTAGCAACGGTTGCTATGGAGAGCGGGGCTCAGTTACAGGCACACTGATGCCTGCTCTAATAATACTTCTCCCTGCATAGCTCAGATGCAGACACCTCTTGGCTAAACAGGGCACACACATTTCTACAGAGGAGGGCTTGAACTTGCACTACCCAAGCAGATCTAGGCAAAAGAGCCCTCTCTGAATTCGAGGGGAAGGCAGAGGGCGGTGACCAGGCAGAACTGGGTGGAGGGGGCTCAGGCCTTTGATTCCTGTCATTCCTAAGGTCCCATAAAAAGAGGCACACTCATTCTTCCTTCCCCATGAAACCGGAGCTCTCATCCTCCCAGGGATCACACCACAATTCCCTGATGGGCACCATGGGAGCTTTCTGGTTGCTTCGGTCCAGGGCAGCCGGCACTCTCCAAGAAGTGGAAGCAATCAATGTGTAAAAGCTGGCTAGCTCGGCACAGGAAGGGTCTGGAAGCCTCAGGCAGGGCAGGGCAGAGCCACAGAGGTGGTTGCTGCCAGCTTTTTGGGGTGGCCTAGTCAGCACTGGGGGTAAGAGTGAGGCCCTTCTCCTAAAACACTTACTGGTCATGCCAACCAATGGCAGAGGCCAAGAAAAGGGAGGCAGCAAGTTTCAAGCAGGGGACAGAGGGGCCAGTGGGAGAGGAGGGGGTCTCTCCTTTTTCCAGGGTAGGGGAGTCTTTCCAGGAAGGGAGGGTGGAGCCCAGCTCCTGCACAGAAGGAAACATGAGGCTGGGAAACGATAGAACGAGCATTCTACCAGCTGCTAAGCTCTCCCACCAGCCCAGTCTGAGCCCTCTGTGTGGCCCAGTAAAGAGCCTAGCACCCGAGAAGGAGGTTTTAGCTGGCTCGTTGTGTGAGAGGCTGCTCGGGAAGGGACAATGCTGTCACAGTCTCCGGGCCTTCTTCTTGGCAGTGGTGCTCACCTCACATGGCCTGATGAATTCTTTAAGCCATGACGTCCAGGTGTATGCTTGGAGAACTTCATCCAGTTGGTCTGGGGAGAGCCCCAGTGTGAAGCCACAGCTCCCTACCTGATCCCAGACAATGAATGAGAGTCTGTTCTATAGGACACCTGGGGTCTGAAACGTACAATCCTCAGGCTGGATCCCCATGCTGGACGGCCACAGTGGTAAGGATCTGTGCCTTGTTTGCCCAGTCATGAAGGTGACCTCACTCTTACAATGCTTTGCTTCTAAAAAGTGTGGGTGCTGGACCAGCCTGGAATCGGTACCGTAAGCTAGGCTGGAACACAGGCAGAGACTCTAGTGAAGATTCTAGACTTGGCACATAATAGATATTTAAGAAATGTTTACTTAATAAATATAATTTTACTTATGAGCACCCTACTGAGAAAGTACCCACAACTAAGGCACACACTGGAGCTGGTTTAGATATACGAACTGACTAATTTGATCTGTGTGTGGGATTGGTCATGAGGGTCTACAAGAGGCCTATGGGACTCACGAAGGAAGCGAGAGTTTCAGGTTTCTTGACAGGGTGATGGAGGGAGTCAATCTGGGAAGGACCTATGACTACCTTCCATTCCACACCCCATTTCCCACTTTGTGGGCACGGAAGCCCAACCTGGAATCTTGGGCATCTGCCGTGAGAGTATTTACCACATTAAAGGCTGCCCCCCTCCTACCATGTTGCCGAGTCCTCATGCCAGAGCCCAGCCTGGAAGAGCACTCAGCCAGGGAGGGCCACATCCAGAAACAGCCACTGGGAGGGGTGTGTACAGGGCACTTCACACCTGGCCCCTTTGCCGTCCCTGTCACTAAGCTGGGCCTCAGAGCCTGTATGGCAGCCATGTCGGACAGTAGGAGCGCAGACTCGGAGCCTGCCAGATTGGCTGGGAACCCAGAGTCAAGTGGAACTGAGTGGACAGAGATCAGGAGCTCTGGGGAGGGGGGAGGGCTCTGTGGGCAGTGAAGACGGACTCCCTCAGAGGGGTGAAGGCGGATCGAGTCCCCTGGTGTATTGCTTCTCCTTTTAGATTTCCTGGGTTGGGTGGCAAGGGGCCACGGGTTACGCTTCTCAGAAAGGCCTGCTCTAACTGCCACCTACTTGGATACAGGGAGGAACAGAGGCCCAAGCAGACAGGCAGGCTTCTGGGTACTCAGGTACCTCACCTGGCACAGCTAAGATTTCCCTCATAGCCCAAAGGGCTTTGGCCAATCACCAGAGAGGCCCAGGTGTCAAGGCCAAGCCTCTGGTTCCACTTTTCGGAGGGCTCCCACATTGGCTCACAGGAAGCGGGCGATGGGGGTAAGCCTACAGAAGAACCTAAATGCCACAATTAGGCACATGGCCTACTCCCATTTCTGTGGGTCACCAGGAGGGTGCACCCTTGGAGCTTACAATGTGGGCCTTGTTTGTCTCCTGGAGTTCCCTTCTTGACTGGGAGAAGAGAGGGGGAAGCTTCTGGTGCCTTCCTCTGGCAGTAGCCATTCCTCCATGACCATGACCTGCCGGCAGCAGCCCTGAGCAGCCAGCCAGACACAGGGCTGTGCTCAGCAGAGGTGGTACCCACCCATCAGAGCCGGGGAAGTAGGCAATGATAACATGCACTTGTTTGTCACTACGGGTTCCTGTGGTCACAAGATGAAGTTCCTGTCTTTCCTGTATACGTTTAAAACCCACCCTCGGCTCCAAGGTCGCTGCTGGGTGGCTAGTCATGTGACAGAGCAGGGAGCCAGGTGTTGGGGCAGAGAAGGGTAGAACACCACAGGAGCATAGAGCTGAGACGCGGGCTGGTCTCCCAGGGGAGTGGTGTCTGAGATGGCCCTGGCAAAGGGCTGAGAATTAGGCAGAAGAGAAGTGAATTTGAAAGGGAATTCTAGACAAGATGGGGGAGTTGGTCTACTGGGGAGGCCCAGCCTGGCTGCAGGGTGGTGGTGAGGGAGCAGAGGGCAGGATGTGAGTGCCCTGGGACAAGGTGGCCTCTGGGGGTGGCACTAAGTTTGTATCATTCATACCATTGTGTGATAGGAATGTGTGAGCGAGGGGCAGTTTGCGAGGACAGGAGAGCCCAAGACTGTTTCATTCAGGGCCAGGTCTTGGAGCAATAAGCAATGGGAACAGCTCACGGGGGTCACTTGTGCCCACTTCCGAGGTTCTGACATCTCCAGCAGCATTTCCCTGGGGGCTCGCGGAGGCCCTGACTGCTGATGCCTTGACCAGGTCCAGCCTCTGGTTTTCCAGCATTGCCTTTGCCTACCCCGGTGCCTGTCCCGCCAGGTTCCACTCACTCCACGTGGGCACACGGCAGGGTTTCAATAACTTAAATTGCTCCTGCCATGAGTTCTAGAACAAATAACCCATCTTGGGGTAGCCCCTGCAGCTAGTTATCTCTCCGGGTACCACAAGGCCTGTGTGCCCGTTTACTATGGGGCTACATGGATTTCTTACAGCTAGCAGCCATGGTCTAGAAGTTGTATTCCATTCTGGCCCTTCTCTGGAAAAAAAAAAAAAAATCTGCAAACCAAGTCTGAGGCTAATCCTGTCCCTGACTCCCCTGTGCCTGGTGAAGCATGGCAGACAGGCTTCTCCTGCCTGTTTGTCACCCTCTCCACTCTCCCAGGACATTCCGGCCTGCGAGGAACATGCCGATGTGCAAATCCCTCAGGTAATGCGGGAATTCATCACCAGGGGAGCATGGGCGATCCAGGAATGGCAACCTGATCACAGCTTAAAGCCGGAGAGAAGCTTGAGGCTGGCCAGAGAGGCTCAGGTTGCAGACAGCAAGACACACACAGAAGGGGACAGGGGTGGCCCAGTGTACCAGAGGCAGGTGGGCCAGCAATGACCTTCCCTCTGCTTTTAGGGATAGCACTGCGAACCATGAACCAGGGGGCCATATGCCCTGTGTACATCTGTTGTCCGTGTGTAACTATGAGGAGAGACCCTCTGACTCTCAGAAGCGGCACTTCCTGGACAGCCTGGCATATGGCCACCCTACTCACCTGTTTGCTGCAGACGGTCTCTTTAGCTGTCACCCTACTTTCCTCACTTCCGGGGGACTGCTTAACCAGGTAACCCCGATGACACGATTTGTATCCTAACTGGTCTGTTGTATAAAATAATAGGGAAGACATACTCCCACCCAACCCCCCCACATCTAGAGTCTCCAAAAAATGTTATTATGGCTGGTATAGCTGCCATGCCACCCTCCCCTGACAGATCTGGGGTCACCAGTCAACTGTCACCATACGTGATCGGTACTGATGTAACGGACTCAGTCTCAGTGCACAGCCAACACTTACTACACACTGGCCTGTGAGGCAGTGGCTAGACACTGGTCTCTGGCAGACAGCAACAAGTGGACTGGGGAGAAACTCTCCGGAAGGAAAGGGACATTGAGCGGGAAGGTACCAGGCATCAAGAAAATCTTGGATGGCCACACTTTCCTCCTACTTAGGGTTTCAATGTACCTGCAGTCAGACAGTCCTCGCCCTGAGCCATAAGGCTTTGGCATCCCTGCTATACCAAGCGCAGAAGCCATCAAGCTCATTGGGGCTGTCCCTAGGAAGGAGGAGGAGGAGGAGAGCGGGGAGGGAAGGAGACGGGGGAGGCAGGTCCACAGCAAGTTCATGACTGCTCAGACATGTAGAGGTCAAAGCACAGGGCCAATAACCAGACTCTTACCATGAAAATAGAAAGGGAGAAAGGCCGGCTGAACAAAACCCACCTATAAAATTATATTGGTCCTTTGTAACCATGGAGCATTCACATAAACACACACAGATCCAGCTGCGCATCTCTCACCCCTCAATGCCGCCTTATTTTCTATAATTAATCGGGCAAGGAACTTGGGACAGGCTCAACTGCTGTCAGGACTTGCAGCCCTCTCTCTAGCAATAGCCCTTGTTGGAGGGGCAGCAGCTGTTGGTGTCTGGTTACCTGGAGCATGTTGAGGAGTAAGCTCCGGAACTTGGTCCCCTCCACCATGAAGAGTGCCATCTTGTCGCAGAGCTTGGCGGCTGTGAAGGCAAAGCTGCGGTCTGACACGGCCTTCTGGTAGATGGTCCGCACGATCTCTCCCAGCATCTCCTCGGAGTTGGTGGAGTTCTGGGCCTCCTCCATGAAGGAGGTGAGCTTGGTGTCCACGTCGCTGCTATTGTTCCTCATGCTGTTCAGGATCTCCATCAACTTGTCCATCTTGTTTGGCTGAGGACTGCTTGTCTCTATTGTTACTTCATCCTGGGGGTATGGGAGACAGATAAAAACACACTTGAGCGAAGAATTGAGGCCTGGGATGGCCTGAAGGAAGATGGGAGAACCCGGAGAGGAGGGTGTGAGGGAATGCAACTCCCACCAGGGGCCATCATGCCACACTGCTCTTTGCTGACTTCTTCCTTAGGCTCAGTGATATCCTGGGTTGACATCGCTTGGCTTGTGAGTTCTGGCTTCCACCCAGGATTCTCATCTACATATTTTATCCATCAGATCCCTTAATCTAGAAATGATTTAATGGGAATTCTCAAAGATAAGGTAAAATAATAAATAGAAAACTGGGTTAGAGAGAAAATGACTCAGGGAAGACCAGACTGGGGTGAGTAGGATCTGGAACATATGCAGGGTGCTGGGAGTGGCCCGGGTGTAGCCGCCAGGCATCCTCTCTAAACGCCATGAACAGCCATGGTCCTGGGTGAATGGCTCCATGTGACTTGGCCCTAGCTTAGCATCCCATGTAACTGTGTTGGATGTCATTCTACACACAACCACTGTGCAATCTTCTGATGTGCTATCCAAATGGCTGGTGCTTCTAGGAGGACAATTAACAATTGAAAACACCACCTTGCTTATGCCCTTAGGACAGTGGCCAGTAACTGGGGTAAGATCACTGACTGGAGAGGCAGAAAATGGCGTGAGGTTACCCCAAACTGTATGCGCCTAAACAGACTAGACCCATGGCCCGAGAACAGAATGGCCGGAGGTGATGTGAGGTTCTATATCCAGCTCTCCCGTGGACATGCACACTGGGAAGGTGGTTCCTTCTCAGAGCCACCATTCCCTTGAAGGTGACACAGCGACATTGGAAGAGCCCTGAGGCTTTCCTTGAGTCTTACCATGTATTGTGGCACATGAGGGTGGGATCTTTATTTTTGGTTTTTGGAGACAGGGTGTCTCTGTGGCTTTGGAGGCTGTCCTGGAACTAGCTCTTGTAGACTAGGCTGGTCTCGAACTCACAGAGATCTGCCTGCCTTTGCCTCCCGAGTGCTGGGATTAAAGGCGTGCACCACCAGTGCCTGGCTGAGGATGGGATCTTAAATGACCTCTTTCTTCTCTTGTCCCTTCTAGACCATCTACCTCTTCAGGGAAAGTTTGTCTGACTCTTTGAGCAGGGCCAATTGGACTCAGCTCTTGTCCCACAGCATCTAATGCAATCGCATCTAATTTTCCTGTGTCTCCAAGGCCTCTCGGTGGTGGTGGTGTTGGGGGGCAGAAGATGAAGAGCCAGTATGTGTTGGAGGGTTCAAGTACAGCTGCCGTGGGCTCAGCCTGTGATGCTCCAGTGACACCCATGACAATGATGACCTGGTGTGGTGGTCTATACAGCCACGCAAGCCTTGCTTCCCTTTAGAGAGGAACCCATCCCAAGTCATGAGTCCTCCCATCCTACCTCTCAGCTGTCCTCCCAGTTGCAAGAGAGAACAAGGAAAAGTCAATTACCGGTACCTTTTCTTTCAGCCTTCGCCTCAGCCTGTCTTTGGAAGACTGGAGCAGGGTGATTTTGGGTCGCTCCCCGAGGCGCTCGGGGAGAACACTGTCTTTATGCTTGGTCTCAGCCTCTGGCCCCCCTGGCGGCTGTGGGGCGGGCCTCTCAGAAGCTGCTGGAGCCGGAGTGTCAGGGCTGCAGGTGGGCTCAAGGCCACTGTGTCCGGTGTCCCCTGGGCTATCTTCAAGTTTGGGGTTCTCAACAGTCGCGGTCTCTTTGGCGTTACGGTGGCTGCTTGCTTCTCCCTTGTCTCCTGGTGGGTGTTTCATGTTGCCATGGTGCCAGCGTCTGTTCTGGCTGTAGCCATGGTGTGTGGGCCTCCCTGAGGGGTGGGGCCCTGAGCCCCACTGGTAGGATTTCTGGTGGTCCCTGTTGTGTTTGGCACTGCCGGGCTGATGGTCACCATGCTGTTGGGGCTTATTCCCTCCTGGAGGTCTCTGCTGCCGTCTGCAAAGGAGAGAGGAGAGGTAGAGAGGAGGGTTATATAGTGACCCGATAATAGCGTGCCATGTAAACTCACCCGGACACGAGCAGGGGATCAGGACCTGGCCCGCCAGTCACTCTTTCACTACTTGTCCAGACCGTCCCATGGGCCATCAGAGAGGATGCCAGGCAAGCCTTCTCTAACAGGCAGCATCTCACCCACGTTACACGATGCCAGTGAGATGTAGCGTGGAACGAACACTTGGAAGGACCAGCAGGTGAGGTGGTGAGCCCTCCTGGCTTCTGCCCCCAGCTATGTCCCCTGAAGCAGCATTATCTGATAATACTCATGTGTTGGTCTGGAGCCAACTGAGATTTTAGATAGGACAAGTAAAGATGAGGGTGAGGGCCCCCAGGGTGAGAGCCCTTAGTCCAAGCTGCCCCGGGTCCTTATTATGAGAGGTGGCGCACGTGCAGAGGCATCCTCTGCACACCAAGACGCAGGGGAATGCGGCTGTCGATACCTTTGAAGAGCAAGGGGATGCCCTTTGGTGAGCCTGTGTTTTGGCAGCCGAGGAATATGGATGTAGAGTGATATTTAAAATGTGGCTGTAGGCAGACGGAGGCTTCCTAAATGCAGGACCATGTATGTATGTATGTATGTATGTATGTATGTATGTATGTATGTATGCATGCATGCATGCATGCATGCATGTATGTGTCAATAGCCCAGAGGGGGACCTTGGAAATACCCTGGTAGATAATGCATGATCCTTACAACTCTTGTTGTCCTGTTTTAGAATTTATGGGGCACCTCATAGCCGTGGCCTAAGAAATGTCCCCGAAGGACAAGTTCTTTCCCAGACTGTTGTGAAAAAATCCCACCATTCGTGGGATTTCGCTCTCTGCCCAGAAGCTACCCCTGAAGAGGGAAAAGAAAGATGGCCAACAACTTCTGTCCTCCTGACTGAAGGATGACGTCATTCCTACACGGCTGGCCATCAAGGGCTCTAGAGAGATGTCACCTGTTGCTGTTGTTCACCTGGAGAGGTGGGGAGCCCTGAAATGCTACACCTGACCTGGCACCTGCAGCCCTGATGGAGCAGTATTGGCTAAGAGAAAGCAGACTACAGTCGATGGTCTCAGACTCATACTCACATGGTGGTGTCTCACGTGTAAGGAGGGCCAGCCACAGGCTGGAGGGGAAGCTAAGTAGCCTATCTTCAAGTGTCCCCTCTTGGCTGGGCAGTCAAGCTACTGTGTGCTGGCTAGTTTTCTGTCAACTTGACATAAGCCAGAGTCATCTGAAAGGAGGGACCCTCAATGGAGAAAACTCCCTCCTTACCTTCCAGCTGTAAGGTATTTTCTTAATTGTTGATTGATGGGGGAGGGCCCTTCCCATGCTGGGTGGAGCCATCCCTGGGCTGTGGGTTCTATAACAAATCAGGCTGAGCAAGCCATGGGGAGCAAGCCAGCAAGCAGCTCCCTCCGTGGCCTCTGCATCAGTTCCTGCCTCCAGGTTCCTGCCCTGCTTGTGTTCCTGTCCTGACCTCCTCTGAAGATGCACAGTGATGTGGAAATGTGAGCCAAATAAACTCTTTCCTCCCCAAGTTGCTTTGGACATGATGCTTCATCGCAGCAACAGAAACCCTAACTCAGACGTACTGGGTTCAAAAGGAGGGCTTGATATGGAGCTTAGTTGGTAGCTCAGCTTTGCCTTGGGAAGCTGAGCAGGAACACAGGTAACACTGGGGGAGGGGACATGAATCCCTTCTTCAGCTGTGTCATCTTCTCAGGGCAAGTGACTGCTGGGTGTGTCTTCTGTGTGCATGTGGACTATGAACCTTTCACACATCCACCCATACACACCCCCCCACACACACAGGGAGAGAGAGAGACCGAGAGAGACAGAGTGAGCATGATGCTGGGGATGGAACCTAAACCCTCTGAGACAGACAGAGTGAGCATGATGCTGGGGATGGAACCCTAACCCTCACACACACTAGGCAAGTGATCAGTCACTGAACTGAACCCTCAGCCTCCTTTCTTCTAGATAAGCCCATTGAGGCTTCCAAAGATGCCAGACCCGAGCACTCATCATGAGACTCGGAAAGCCACCGCCAGTCTGTCCCTCGTTTATTCTGAGGTCCAGTTTCCCAGGCGTACAAGGCTGGATTCCCAGAGACTTCTGTGGAAACAACCACAGCGGGCCCATGTTCTTTGACTGGCGAGGAGCCCCAAGGGCCACTGGCATCATGGGCAGACAGGCTTGGGCTCTGTTCCCCAACCATGGTGGCCCAGGCTCCCCTGCTCTGGCCATTCACAAATATTTGCTAGTGGTAGCTGGGTGAGCTGGCCAAAGCCAGCATGCTCTCTTCTGTGTTTGCTGGTGCTAGGTTTCATTGATATCTTTGTCAGGGGCCAGCTGGCTGCTCCCCACCAGACCTGTGGGTTTGGGTTTGGCTGGGACAGCGTGAGTTGCTTCTACTCCTAAAAGTGGGTGAGCATGAAGGCTGACTCTGGTGTCAGACATGCGCACATTTGGTCTAGTTCGGGGGGTATTGTGCACAACCCCACACATTCACCACAAAGGTCAAATGCCTTTTCACTGTTTGATCCGACTACCTCTCAGGCGAGGGGATGGCTTAGGGGACAAGAACAAGTTTCCACTTGAGCCCCTGGAAGCACCTGCTGTTGACAAGAAAAAAAAAATACAGTCTTGGGATGGAAATGGTCAGTTTATTTTTTTTTTGTTTTTTTGTTTTTGTTTTTGTTTTTTGTTTTTTTTTGGTTTATTCTAAAACTCCCTTTTAAGAAAAAAAAAGTTCTCAGAATAATGGGCACAGCTGCATTCAGGGAGGTGAATGTGTACATAGAATAACTTCGGATTTTGCTTTTTAAAAAAATAGTTTTAACATCAGGCCGAATGGAGACAAATGTTTCCCTGTTCCTTTTTTTTTTTTTTTTTTAATTTCATAATAGCTCCCAACCAGATAGCCCAAGGTCCACTGGCTTATTATAGTTCTCTCCATGTGGGACCCTTTACCACATAATTTGTAGGTCTACTTAAGAATTCTGAAAGTAAAATTCCTGGGCAAGTGACTTGGAAACTCCACAGGGACTCGGGTTTCTTGTTCTCAGGAAGAGTGATGGCTGACTGTCCATCACAGCCGTCCCCCACCGGTGCCCACCTCCACAGGACCTGCTCCTTGCACCAGCTGCCATGCTCCTTGTCCAAGACTGAGATGAAATTCGGGGGCTCAGTATGACAGCATTTCCCTGCAGCACGGGGGCCTCTTTGCCTAGCGTTGGCGTGTGGGGCCCAGAAACAAGGAGCCAACCGCTGTTCCAGCCTCCATTTGCAGGGCTTGGAACACAGTACTGTTTACTCCTCCCTGAGGGCTAGTGGGCACTGGAACACCCTTGTTTCCCTCACACAATGCCGGAGATTCCCCCCATACTTTGTGGTCTTCTTTTTCACTCAGGGTTGGAAAGAAATAGTTCAAAACTGAAGCTTCTGCCAGTCAGGGAAGATGCTCCTCTTAGAAGTGTGACGTGTCACTGTGTTGGACACACCCAGATGGCTACCTGGTCAGCATATGGGATGTGGTGCTGGCCCTGAGTGCCATACAGCAAGAGAAAACACCCTCCCTCAACTGTGGGTGGCTCACCCATCACGTCCTTACTTAAAGTGGCTCCGCCTGGAGCCACTGGGCTCTCAGAAGTATCCTCTGAGGGCCGTGTGTGAGTGATGGAAGGTGTCCAGTGTCTCCGTGCACCTCTCAGCACTGCCTCAGTCCCATCCGGAGTTAAGGCAGCACAGAACCCTGTCCTGATGCTCACCTTGGTCACTGTCTACACCTGCCCACCCTACCCTGTCTCTGTTCTGTGGTTGCACGCTAGAAAAACAGCTCTCAGTGTCCTGGGGTCTGGTGGATCATAGTGGGGACTTTGATGCCTACACCAGGGCTTAGAGACACTAGCCTGCTGTTTATAGAGACTAGCTATGACCCGAGCTAGGGGATGAAGGCAAATCAGCAGAGAAGGGCTTGGCCTACTCTCAGGACTTGAGGCAGGCTAGCATGGAATGCGCAGAACCTAGAGCAAAGAGAAAATGACGGTCTTCCATCAGGAATTTTTGAGATGGTGACAGTCATAGCTTAGCACTGGGTCAAGCACAGGCCCTTCTGAGCACATCCTGCAGCCGGCCCTGCTCGGAGGGCTCCCAGAGATGACAGAGTACTGCAGTCTTCAGAGGAGCAGAGTGGCAGTATACACGTGATGCATGTGTAGCATGCCAGGCACAGCTTCTGCTTACCCTCAGGGTAGGCAGGGCAGCAGCGATATCGGTAGGGCATAGGGAGGACATCTTGTCCTAGTTTGCAAGTGGCCAGCAGAACTTGGGATGGAACTTGGTGGTCTGGCCCTTACATGTACAGTTTTGACCACTATGCTTTCCTGGCCCAAGGTTCAAGTTTGTTCCAGGGTCCTGAAGCCCAGGGTAGCTGGCAAATTGCTGCTGAGACCCTATAACCATTATCCAGAAGATGCTGGCCAAAGTCACGGGAGGTGGAGGGGGGGTGGGCTGTGGGTCATCGGGAGACAGTGGGGTGCAAAGGGCTAGACAGGCAGAAGCAGAGCCTCAGGCATCAAGGGGAGGGGCAGCAGGGGAGGGCCCGTGGGAAGGAAAGCTGTGGGGAAAACAGCTTTCCAGCCTCGGCTCCACTGTGTCTGGGGCAAACCACAGGAGCCACGCGTGGCCTTGGGTTCCAATTGCACTGGGAACGATCCTTTGCCCATCTTGCCTGCAGCGCTTGTGGCTAGAGCCTGGAGGATAGGGCTAGGGCCCAGTGTCAGGGTGGCCCTTTGGCTTCACTTGCTGCCCCCTGAGGGAGGGAGGACAGAGCTACGGGCTCTATCTCTGGCAGGGCAGAGGCTAAAGGAAGTGGCTTTCCTGGGGAAACGTGGTAGCTCACGAGTCCCTGTTCCTTTTCTCACTCTTGTTGGAAACAAGGGTTCTTGGG